CAGGGGCACAGGAACTCAGAGCTGCCAGTACTTCCTGCACAGTTGTGTCTACTTGAATAAAACAACTAGCCATTAAATATTCACATCACTCATAACAAAATTCAAACCTGCTTTTCATCCCCAAACTGATTTTATTACCAACATATTTTGAGAAGGGGTTATATACAAAATTGCATAGGACTGTAGGCCAAGAAAAAAGAGCCTATTATGACTCTAGCAGAACTAGAACTAGTAAAGAGGCTATTCTACTTGCAGAATAGTCTCTTTTTGAAAAATGTCTTCAAAGGTCTCTCAAACCCTCTTTAAGTGCTCTCATGGTCAGCTTTTACAGAGAGTTTTCTGAGAAAATTTCAGTTACATTCAGAAGGCATCTGATATGTTAGAATCCACCTACATCATATGTCTCTTACTAACATGGAAGTGTTGAAATACTTCCTAGGAATTCCATTAAAATATGACAATTCCCCAACAACAGAGCTCTTCATAGCTTTGTATGTTCTCTATTGACTATACTGATTTAAAGAAACAGCAACAAAATTACTTTTTGTCACATTGATAATTTGTTGAGTGTGCAAACTAAGAGTAAACTGGTTTTATCTTTTCCTATTTTTTTTTCCATTACCATTTATCCCTCTACCTCTCTCCATCTCCACCCACCCTCCTCCCCACACTATTGTCCGTGTCCATGAGTTCTTTCTTTTTTTTTGCCCCATACCTCCACCCTCTCCAAACCTCCCTCACCGGCCGAGCTGTCAGCCTGCTCTCTGAATCTATTTTGCTTGTTAGTTCAGTTTGTTCATTACATCCCACATGAGTGAAATCATATTTTAATTGTCTTTCTCTGACTGGTTTATTTCACTTAGCTCAATGTTCTCCAGGTCCATACATGCTGTCCCAACGAGTAAAATTTTCTTTTTTACAACCGAGTAGTACCCCATTGTGTAAAAGTACCACAGCTGTTTTACCCACTCATCTACTGATGGACACTTGAGGTGCTTCCAAATCTTAGCTATTCTAAATATTGCTGCATGAACATAGGAGTGCTTATATTCTTTCAAATTAGTGTTTTGGGTTCCTTCGGATATATTCCCAGAAGTGGAATTGCTGGCTCATAAGGCCAAGTAAACTGGTCTTCACAGTGACGTATGTGAGGAAAGTGCACGGGTTTAATTTGTGTCCTTTTGTATTGTTTCACTTAACACCCATGGGCCACTTCCTGTCTGCCAGGTATTGTTACAAGTACTTTAGATACATTGATTTATTTAACTGTCATAATAATCCTCTGAGAAAGGCAGTATTATGACTGTTGCCTTTCTTGAGAGAACTGAGGTCCGGAGAGTCCAGAACTTCAAGTCCAGGCAGTCTTGCTCATCTGTTATTAACCAGTACACTATGCCTGCCAACTTGCTTGTTTTTCCTTCTTCCGAAAAGGATCTTAAATCAAGGGTGGGTACCTATAAGCCAATTACCTATAGATAATGGAAGAGTAAAAATGGATTTTTTCCCTTTCATAAATGTAAGGCAAGAGGTTTCACTCCAGCTTTAGCAAGCCCCCTTGCAACTGGATGTTACAGCTGCTGCACCCTGGGTATTTCCCCATTTCTAGAATCTTCATTCTCTCTCCTCTCCATTCCCTGGTCCCTTTGGATTTTGTTTGCATCCCTCACAGCCCCTAACCTTTCCTCCTGCTTCCACACTGATCCAGTCTTTTCTCAGAGTTCAAGAAAGATTCTTCTAAAACATGAAACTGTTTTCACATCTATCTCAAATCTCTTCAATGTCACTGCTTTATTTTGTGGATGAAAAGCCAGATAAGTCAGCCTAAAAGAGGAAACACTTCATGTTCCTGCCCAGTTCATTATCTTGCTCCATACTTGCACACCATCGGTGGCTTTCTTCTTCCACATGTACCCTTTATTTGAGCAGTGTTGAGCTGAGCTGTTTGCCATTCTATCCCACCTGCCATTTCCCTTTGGCAATTCCCTGCCCCCCACCCCGCTTTCAACTGGCATCACTGATCTTCACCTGATAATTCTAATGCAGCCTTCAAAACACAGCTCAAGCATTATTTTTTCTTTGACCCAAGACTAATCCAATGGCCTCTTTTCTATGCTTGTGTAGTAGCAAAGGCATTTCTGTACTAAGCCCTTAGCAATACAGTACAGGCTCCATCTCCACACACCACCCAGACACCAGGGTTCCTCACTGTGGTGCACAGATGGTGGCATTGGCATCACGTGGACGCTCATTCAATATGCAATTCCCCAGGCCCCACCCAAATCAGCATTTCTAGGAGTTGAGGCCAGCAATCCGTGATCCTGTGTGCTATGAGCAGAGCAGCACTGTACTGGACCATAAGCTTCTAAAAGCACACACTACATCTTTCTTACTGGTCTCTGGCTCCCTAGCAGTCTTACTGCCTGGAGTAAAGGGAAGGATCAATACATACACATTGGGTTAACCTTTTAAATGATTCAGATCATATGCCCCTCCCCTGGAGCTAAATTATCCAGAAAACACTTAAATATTCTTTAGTTCATTAATGTCTCCAAATATTCTCAAAACTGGAATTTTTCTTTAATTTAGAATTGGCTGAGACTCAAGTATAACGTTTGTTTCAGCACTATAAGGAGTACTGCAATAATTTAGAATTTAGCGGTGGTTAAGACAAGCACAAAATGAAAATTCTGTAAGATGCATAGAATGTCTCTCAAAAGTACATTTTTATGTATTCGGTTCCATAGTAGAAACTGATGTCCTCTGCTTCAGGCTTTGAAAGATTATTTGCAGTTTCTTTAAATAGTAATTTTCTTTGAATGTATTTTGAACATAGTTTAGGGAGGAAAATGCAAATTGCACAGCCACAGTAAAGACTGCTACATATCAAAATATTATCTCACAGGCTTTTCGGGTTTTCACGAAAGTCTTTATGCTATATGCAGCTCATAAATATTGTTTGCAACACTTCAAGTTAGAATCAACAAGAGCACTAGTGTGACTTATTTTAGAAATATTTCAGGTTAACTTAATGACTTAATTTAGAAAAAAATTCACTCCTCTCAACAAATTGATATAAAAGAGATAGACTATTAAGTATAACCTATTCACCGGTCTTAAAGACAAAAGCATGCCTTAATTTTGAAATAATTTTATGTACCGTTGTTACTTGAAGTGAAAAAGGACATCATTCTTGAAGTCTAACACAGTTCCTTCTCCATAGTATTTAAGCTGGTTACTACCAAGAACAGCTTAAACAAGAGGTCAGTAGTAATAAATTAATGTTTAAGTACTAGTAGTTTAACAGGAATCTTTAATTATTTCCTGAACACAGATTTATTTAAAGTACAGATTTGACAAAATAAAGAGTGGATGTTTTAACTACGTACCTTGAGTTTAGGGATTTTCTTAGATGGCAGAATATGAAATGGCAGCATCTGCTATGACAACTGCTATCCAATGGATATTTAAATAAATAGTCAAATAGAAAACGATTATAGAGACACCTAAGGTCTGACTAAATAGGAATTAAACCTTCCCCACGCTCTCCCTCAAGAAAAGATTCAGAAAAGGAAACAAGAGGTGAGGTGCCCGAGTTGAGGAAATGCACCCAAAGATTCTTCAGAAGTGGATCTATAGTCTACAGCTGCTGGTCTTACACTGGTGTGTGTGTGTGGGGGGGGTGGGGGGCGGTCAACCTTTCATTATCTTCATCTCTTCCTCACAGATATTCTCATCTCTTTTTGAGAGTGCTTATGTTGGTTATAATTAAATAAATGAGAAAATTCTATTTTTGAAAATTTTCCCATTTCTGTTTTGTGAGATGACATTCTAAAAAGTGGCGGACAACAGGGAATGTTGAGCAAAGGAAGTAGCTGGTCAATAAACATAAACAGCTCCGAAAAAAAGGATTGAAGTGTATGAATTAGAAATCAAGAGTGCAGTCATCTTCTACTGAAGACTCCTAAAGGCAGGCAAGGCCTACTCTAACACTTGGGACAACCACAGGTTTTCAGGGCCACTTGCTCTTATTTTGGTCTCTAATACTATTTAGTTTGCCAGGAATGCTTTTCTTCTTCCTTTTCCCCCCATCCCCCCAAGTTTAAGTCCATGATTTTGGGGGAGAAAGTGTTATTTCAATGACAAGTTGGTCCTGAGTACCAATAAAGGAGGAAGTTAATTTCCAATTGTCTTGGGATTATGGAAACAAATATATGGATTAAGTTTAATAGCAACAAAGAGGTAATGGTCAAGAATTTCCTGGATTAAAATCTTTGCAATTCAGGTTATATCTATAATTAAGCTGATGAGAATGTAGGCTTCCAGTTCCCTTATTCTTTGAGATAATTCCAAAAATATTTTGAGCAGGTATGTTATAGAAACTTAAGTGGTGAAGCAACTACACAAGGTTTCATAATAAGTTCTAGTATGAAAGCAACAGAACGCTACAGAGAAATAATATATGTGCATGTGTATATAATTACGTATAAATGTGTGTGTATTAATGTACTTGACACGGGGAAATATAAAGCTAGTTGAGCACATAAAAATTATATTAGAAATTCTCATATGATATTTATTTTTAATTCCAAGACTTAAGCTGTTAAAAACCAGCAGGAACAAGCAGCACTGGTTACATCTAAAGCTAGGTGTAATTCAGTATCACCCCCTTAGTTAGTACAGCCAGATTCACAGACACCTGAGCAACTACTGTACGAGAAAGCCAACCACAAATTCCATAAGAGGAATATAAACACATCCACTAACTCCCTCCCATTAACTTAAGTGTCAGGCTTTGAACAGTGCAATTGATTACATATTCATTGTTCTCTTATGCTTTTGCCTCAAATTTTTACTTCTTTAGGGATCAGAGATATCTGAATACTTAGCAAACAAATGCTCCTGCAAAACCATCTCTGTAAAATGTAGTGACACCAGAAGTGCCAAAAATGAATTTTTTTACTATTTCAAGAGACCTACAAAAATGCTAAGAAAAACAAATATATGAATCAGTTTTATTTTTATTTGCATTTAACATGATTATACACATTCATGTGTCTAACAAGATCTGCACTGTTACATTAAAAATACAGTACAATAACATTCAACATGAGGTACTTCATATTTATATATTTTCCTTCATAAATAATGCTGTAAGCTACTAAATTCAAGCACTCTAATGCACAAGTGGCTAGTGTCTTGAATTAGCCAAGCTTATTTCAACACCTTAAAAAATGAAAAAGACAGTTCAGTGCAATAATTATGTAGAAATGAGACAATTTATTTAAATACTATATTAAGATACGCTTAAAGAATGTTACATTAGAACTGCTAACCTAGTTCCCCCTTATCCCCAGAATGAACGATGACAAAGACTGTCAGAAACATTGGGAAAAGCATCTATGGAGTATTTTGTTTAATAGAGTTGTGTTTATATACTAGAGTTGCCTGCCTTGTCAGAACAATAGTTTCTACTTTTAAAAGTTACAAAATTAAGATTACCAAAAAATAAAAATAAATAAATAAAGCAAGCACATTAGCCTTCATTCCATGTTGTTGAAATGCAGAAGGTGAGAATAGGATTTAAAACACAAGTTTTCAAATTTAACCCACAGCTCTCAGCACCAGCCAATCGGGTGGCAAAAATGTCTTTTTTCTTTAATAGAAATTAACATAAAATTAGGTTCTTCTATACCCAGTGTACAGGATCTCACGTGGCTTTCACCCAGCAGGTCCCTAGCCATGCGGAGGGCAGCTAGCTAACAGGAGCATGCACAGTGAGCGTTACTGAGTGAACTATCTCCACTCTAAGGTCATCACACCCACCTCACAATCTGATATGATGAAGCTAGTGCTAAATAAAGTTTCTTCTCCTCTGGCTTATAAATGAGTGCCTTCTAATCAGGTACACAGCCTACCAATTTGCATATGGTAGCTATGAATTCCTGAAATGTTTAATCGTAATTTAAAAACAAAATCATTTGTAGAAGTATTTTTAAAATGCAAAATGTACCCTTATTTCATAGATACATTGCCAAAACTATCTGTCATTTTCTAATATGAAATTATTGTTAGACAATTTTGTAAAGCTGTCCTGGGAGTACTTATTTATAATCACCAGTAACAGCTTTTGATCATCTATGCTAACAGACAGAGGTAATGGCAAAGATGATTAAAACATTTCCCATAATCCAGTGTTCTCCTCCATCAGGAAAGCTGGCCAAAAGCAACCAGCCCTTGTCCACAGGGGAAGTAGTAGCCCAGAAACACAGTGAATGTATGGGCAGTCACTCACTGGGGCCTTGCTGGGGCCAGCAGGGGGAACATTTCTGTCCCACCTCTCACCGGCCAGGCAGGGAGGAGACAATTCCTGAGTTGGCAAACATACTTGCGTGCACATGGGTGCCCATGCACACAGACCCACCCCAGGACTAACCCCTGGCTCCAGACAAGCCAGCTTCAGGCTTACAGAGCAGGAGAAGGAGGCGGCCAGGGACCACACTCTGGGTGGGGAGGGAAGCCATCTCAGGATCACAATGAGCAGAAAAGCTGCTCAGGAACACATGGATACTTCAACTGGAAGTAAACACACTGGACACTACCAGGGTCAGCGGCACTTAAGCATCACAAGCCATCGCTAAAGGAGAGTTTTTTGACAAGCTTTTCCCTCCTTTGTTTATGTTATCTATGGGCAAGCAAGGAGCTGGATGTGATGCTGATGCAGTAAAATATTAGGTATAATCAGGTGTATTGCTCCAGGTCACTTTTTAAAAAACCCTGAAGGTATACATTGGCACTTTAAGATGGCCAGAGGCCAGATTCTAGCAGTCCAGGAACAAGACAGAATTATAATTAACTAAGATAGTATGTGACCAAAGTAGAACATATAAAGTATATTTATTTTTAAAAAATCAATGAATAAAGGTATCTTATTATATAACGTGTAGTGCTACAAAACTAATGGTTTTTCCATTCATCTAAAGAATTGTTTGGTCCTCTTTTCATTAAAAAAAAAAAAGAAGAGAAGAGGTATTCTATACAGTATGATTTATGAAAACAAGCAAATGGTGGGGATCAGAAGCTAACTGGGGAGAAATGAGTTTGACTTTTTCAAACTGTGCATTTTATTGTGCCATCAATTAACCCATTTATAGTATGAGACTTTTTTAGGTTTCCTTTATGAACTGTTTCAAGTTTAAAATAATAAGCCTGAAATTGTTTCTAATGACAACAAAATTTTATAATTTAGTTACTTTTAAAAAAGTGTCTGTACTCAATACTTTTGTCTTCTAATCTAAAGAATACAAACCTGCTGTAGCAGAAGTCATGGCCTAAACAAACATCCAATTTCTTATTTTCCCACTTTGTACCAATACTTTGCAGTGTTTAATATTTAACAATCTTATGAATTTAGGATTTAAGAAAATGCCATGCCCAGAAGTTAAAAGGAAATAGAGCTAAACACAACTACTGTCTCCTCTTTAAATTATTATTCAGTAGAAAGCAAAACTTTCAAAATTGTACACTAGGTTTATGTGTTGTGTTTTTTTTTTTGAGGGGAGGGGTTCTGTTTAAAAACAACTCTTGTCATTATTACTTTAGACTATTTCTATTTGTCAAAATAAAGCCCTAAAGGAAATTTGAGGTGATCCAAAACAATTTTTAAGAGAGACAGACCTGGTAGGTCAATGGGGCAGTTAGAAAAGAGCACACATTCTCCCCAGCTGTAGAGACGGACGCAATTCTAAAAACCACACAGCCCTAATAAGAACTAGGCTCTTTTAAGCATATAGTTAAAAGCTGAATGCTGCATTTTTGCCTGTACATAATTAAAAGGTTGAAAGAAATTAGAAAACTGCCTACAGCTTCATTCATTACAAAATTACCTGCGCTGATCACATATCTGCAGATGAGCTAAGCATCAAGCAAGTAGGAACCAGATGTGCACTTCAGAGCTCACACTGCTTCGGGGAGTGTTTTCAAGCATAGAATATAAGTTCGGGAATCTGCCCTCCCTGTACCCCTGTGCCATTGGTGCTATCCGAGGAACACTGAAACTGGACGGTCACTTTGCCACACTGAACCTCCGTCATGCCTTCCTGTCCGAAGTAGCTGAGTTCATTACCATCCAGTATCACACTGGCTGTGTAGAAAGTGTCTGGCTCTATCTGCACCGGATACTCAAACCACACGGGGAAGGTACTGCTGGAGCCATCTGAGAAATACTTGCTCAAGTTCTGCCCCAGGACAACTCCCTGACGTTTGAGTTCAATCTTGGCGCTATACTCCGCAGAGCCACAGCTGGAGCCATACAGCCCAAAGCCAGCGATGAATACTCTCTTATCCACTGCAAACTGAATGCTGTCACAGCGGCCCCGATAGCGCCACTGGTTGCTCCGGTAGGCACACGACTGGAAACGGTGACAGCGCTGCGGGACAAGGCCCTTTCGGGCTTTACTGACAAACTGCAGCTCGGGCTTCTTGGCTGCAGTGTACCAGAGGAAGATGTCATTGGTCTCATTGAGAGTTAGAACACCCGACTGTGCAGCACCATTTGCAAAATCATCCAGGGCCATTGTAGGTATGCGGATCAAGTAAAGTGCCTTTCCGAGGACCTTGCGTTTATTTTCAATGCTCAGAGCTAAATCTTGCCTCTGGCATTCTACTTCAGCCCAGTTGAGAGCTGCCTCAAAAACAACAATTTCTTTGGCATTCAGTGTTTCCCTGCGGAGGATACTTTCTAGTGTCTGGAAGTCGATATCGCAAAATCCCTCAGACTTAAGAGCTAACTCAGCCTGAGCGTCGATCACCTCCCAGCAACGCTGGGTCAGGTCTGGCTCCTCGAACAAGCAGCTCTGGGAGAGGAGCACGCAGGCGTTCTTGGCACTCAGGCTGGTCTCCAGGAAATTAACGCAGGCTCTGGCGAGGTGAGGAACAATGTACTTTTTGGCAGCATACAGAGTAGCCAGCACTGTGTCAGCAGCCAAGTCAATTTCATCACAATAGATATATCTGAAAGAAAATGCACAGCATGTAAATGGAATTTTCACAAAATGAGTGTGTCCAGCAAGAAAAGATGCAACTACTTTCAAGCTAGTTCCAAAAACAGAAAAAAAAAAGAAAAAGAAAAAATCATGTTAGGTGACAATTGTTACAAAAATAATAGGGATTAAAAAACATTTGAAAAATGTACATAAATTAATGTTTCAACTCAGTAGTTAAGTTTGTACAACTAAAGACATTAACTTTGTGTTGTTATTCTAGCCTCTATGTGATAAATTGAATTTAATATCATTTCAAAAGAATAAAAGATACTAGAATGACATATCAGACAGAGATGGTTAATATTAAGGGAAAAACCCTCAAAATTCTAGTACATGTACTATTTTATATTTAATGAAAAAAAAAAACTCCCCTATGTTTTAGAAGCAATATATAAATACTTGTTTTACTTCAAAATTTTTTCTGCAGATTCAGATAGAATCAAATGTTTTTTAACACTATAATGTTAGCAATGATTACATCTTGCTACTTTTAACTAAGTGTGACTTGAATTTCTCCTAAACACAAAATAAAACCTGAGATTAAATAAGATATTTTTCAGGTAGTTCTAGGTTCAGTGAGTTATCAAATATGAACTTCAACCCTATCTTCCAGTTACCTTTACACAGAATCCAATACAGGCTTTGTAGTTGGCTTTAAAAAAAAAACCTAATTCTTTCTCTTCCCCCTACACATTCCTTCCACCTTCAGAATTAAAGAATGTATTGTTTCCAGATATATTTAATTAGAAGACAAAGTAAGAAAGCCTCAATATGCACTATTGCTGTGATTCTGTAAAGCATCCCTACGTCAAGAAATAAAACACTTCTTGATGTTTTGGGGGACAGTGCAGGCTCTCAGAATGACCTGTAAAGGTAGAAATCATCTGCTTCTTTTAGAGTGCTATGGTTCACCAAGTTAGTCAGTGAGAACTACATATGGGTGAAAAATACATGTTGATAATGCTTACATTTTAAATCTTTCTAGGGAGGGTGTTTAGCTACTTGCCCATGAAGTTTTCCTTTAGTTATTATATTTCAACTTAGTGAAATACACATAACAAGAAATTAGCAGTGGCTTCTGTAAGAAAGTAAAACACATATACAAACACAAAATGACTACAGTAACAAAATGTCCACAATCACAAATGGAATCAGCATTTTTGCTCCCAGGAAGATCTTTCTCTTCTCGGATTGGTGAGATCTCTTGACAAAACAGGCTGCAGCTTAGAGGTGCTCTAACCAGAGATCCAGGACATTGGGGAGGATTCTGAAGCACAGTCAGCAAGAGAGTGCTATCTGTTATCCTGGAACTATCAACTAAGCACTCTTCTCTTTTTCTTGACAACCCCTATCCAGGAATACTGGCTACTCACCCACCAAGCAGGGGTGAGGTGAGGAAAATCTGGCTTCCACTGTCCTTGGGACATTGCAGCACTGATCAACTAGGGCACAACAGCAAATGGCACCTTACCACTTCTCTGATTTTTACCTCTTAACATGGATGGCATGTCTAATTTTAAAGAGCTATATCGACATATATTCTAAATAATACATTTGTGAGAAGATGCTTGTCAAATGATCAATCAAATGACTTAGGTGAAGTGCATTTAATAACTCTGTGATTCTTACATTTCCTAATCATGTATATATCTGGAATGACACAACACTCCACTTAACTGCAGTGAAGTCAAAATGCTGAACTAGCATTACCATTCCCCTCTGCAGAAGATAATGTCAAATATACAAAGCTGGCATGAATGGGGAAAAAATTAAAAAAGTCTTACAGGTAAAATTGGTTCTTATATTTATATCTCTAAAAGATTACAAAGGTCATGAAGTATTGGTTGGTTAAAAATTGTTAGATTAGTTTACATTTTGTACTTACACATTCTCTTGCCTTTAATATCCCTACCTTCCACTGTAAAAGTTTAGTCAGCAGCAGTTAGATTTCAAAACTATGATACAAATAAATAGTTAGCTCTAAAACTGTAACAGTGAAATGCTTGGCCCCCCTGACTCCATCTTGTTCAAGCCTGCTTTGTTCCCATGGCCTTTAGGTTAATAGCTTCTGATTGGTCTTGAATACAGACATGCTAATCATTATAGGAATTCTGCTGGTGGCCTGAGTTTTACAAAAACAGCCCCTTGCCAGATACTGCCTCTCCTGAGGAGATAAAGGAGGTATATACAAAAATAATGTTTACCATAGATTTGAAGGAACCTAATTTCATGACTGGACTCACACCAACTAAAATCAACAGACTAAGAACAAAGAAGTTCCACAATCTTTCTCAAACCCCTGCTGGTGCCCAGATGTCCAGTCATCAATCACCTCTTGCCTCTCCAGTTTCCCTCTGCCCTAGACATAAAAGAAGCCCTAATTCTGCACCTTCTTAAGATGCTTCTTTAGGACAGTAGTCTGCAATCTTCTTGGCTTTCTGAGTGAAGATGCTTTTCTTGCCCTAACTCCTTGTCACTCAACTCATTGGCTGTCATGCAGTGAGCTTGAATTTGGTTACAGAACTAACTATACCTCTTACTCTTCAGTAGGCAGCAGATGATATACAGCAACATTTTAACCACTTATGGGATTACTATCCAACTTGACCTACGGAATAAATTTTTTCGACAATTATATTTATTCTAGTGAACCGAAATTGCTGCAGCAGCTGATAACCTTGAACTCTGATATAATTAAGCATGCTAAAGTAAGTATTTAACAAAAATTTTATATATATGGTTTAAAATAATCATTGGATTTTAATAACATGGTAGACTATTCCTGCCTAGTATCAGTACATGTAATGAAGTGGATCCTATTTACCTTATTAACATGTACTAGATTCTGAAAGACCCATGAGATATAAAACTATTTTTAAAAATATGTACCTTATAGCTTTACATTGCTGTATCACTAATTAAAAGTTATCTGTATACATACATAGAAACCTATAGAAAACAACTCACATCTCTCAAAAATTTCTCCTCTACTATCAAATGCAAATGCTTCTTATCCTTGAGAAAGGGTATCTAATTTTATGTAAGAGTATATATATATATATATATATATATATATATATATATATATGTGTGTGTGTGTGTGTGTGTGTGTGTGTGTGTGTGCAAAGATCAGATTATTTCAACAGATAATAAGTTTTACATTTGCTGGTAGGAAACAATAACTCCTAAAAAACTTAAATACCTCTTAACTGGTGGTATTTAAACAAGGTATATATTTCCAGAACTGTGAAACAAAACTATAATTTGTCTTTAAAGAGTTTTTCACACATGATGCTTTCAGAGAGGATATTCTCTATTAGATAATGTCTATGCCAGAAAGTTATTTTTCTTTAATTCTAAGTTGTTAAAAATCAAATCAGAAGCCACTTGCCCCCAAATCCCATGCCAAGGTGTCATTACAAATGACTGCATCACTCCACATGCTTTCCACTGAATGATGCAGTTTTCTCCAAAAGAGGTAAGCAGCACCCTCTTTCTTCACCAGTCTCCCTTTTCTGTTACACAGAACTTATATTTAACTGTGAAACCAGCAGCGTATAAATACAGCTTAAACAAACTCTTTCCAAACATATGAATGATGCTTACTTCAGCATTGCGAGAAAAGCAGCAGGTTCGACATCTGGTATACGGATTTCATCCTTGTCCTCAGCAAGTTCTCCGTAAAACATAGCATGGAACACAGAGCTCCCAACAGCTAAAACATACTGTGGAGAAAGGGAATCATGCTCTAAATTGAAGTATTTTTAGCAAATCAATCTAGAAAAACAACTCTAAGTAATCATGTCTAGTGGACACAGAACACCTAAACCTGTTTTTTTTGTCACAGTCAAGGTACAGTGTATCTTCCTGTGATAGGGTAAGATAGATGTTCATGCAAATCAGTCTCTATATTGCTAATTATCTAAAGGCTTTAACAGATTAATGCATAAGTTGTTTCATTACAAAACAAATAAATAAAAGAAAAAGCTTATTTAACTGATTTCTAGGGAAAGAGTGAACATACGACTTTCCTAACCTGTCACAACAAGTCCCCATGACTGGAGAGTTAAAAGGGCATGTTTTTGTGTGAGATATAAAGCTGTACAAAAGGAACAAAGAAAAAAAATTAAGCGTAGCCAAAGCCCTTTGGAGAGGCTCAGCTTTCACAGGGATCGGGTGAAACATGCACTGCCTGACATCAGCAAGCTGCCCACCCCGAATTCCAGGCTGACAGAGAGGGTCCTCTCTGTAAATCTCAGAACTAAACCGGTAATGCGGCTGTTGCTTACTTTGTGTCCTGGCAACCGCTGAGTCCCACCTGGTGGCCCAACCACAAAATGTACATCTGCCATCAAATCATTATTGAACATCACCGCATTTCTATAAACAGAGGGAATTCATTAATTCACAGCAGCCAGCGTTCTAAATACCCCCTCCCCAACATACAGAACCCACAAAAGATTCTTAAGCAAGGCAACAGTTTTATAACTTCAGGGTAAAACTACAAATAAAGGTTCCAACTAAACAACTGTGTTTGTAATCATTGCAAGCACATGGGGAGTAACTAAAGTTAAAAAAAAAAAGTTATCCAAACTTTTCATCAGACTAAGGACAAATAAAAGCTTTCTATCATCTATCCCCTAGACATAACCCTGTCACTTAAACGTTTGCAAAACAGCTTGCAAAAACATTTTTATCTAAGAGGAAAACAGCTGTACTGTTTTGGAAAAGGCACAAGGCAGTTTTCCATTACCAATAAAGCTGCTGGGAAAAGAGGAAACAGAGATTTATGTTAAAACACAGTATGGGCTGTGCAAAAAGCAGAAACTTCAACACAGGAAAACTTTTAAAGTAAACATGCTGGCCTGGCACTTACCTTTCTCTGATGGTAGGATAAAGACCTTGCCAATTCGGGGCTGGAATCAGGTTATTGTTACTGAGATTCTGTTGGTGGTACTGCTGGACAGTGGTGCTGCCGGAGTTTGCTGGTTTTTTGCGGGGAAATATGTCAGCAGCCATCTTTTTCTTCTTTTTAGTCTTTAAGGTAATTATTTCATAACAAACTGGAGGCAACTTGCTGATGCTGCTGCTGCTGCTGCTGCTGCTGGTATTTGTTTTCTTCGAGCTTTTCTTGGATCTGTTCTTTACCGTCTCTGGAATCATCAAGAAGAAGGTGAGACATTTCATGTTCTTTTCCTTGTCATCTACCATGAGTACAGTATGTCTCTCTTTAGAGCTAGATATCCCAAGTTGGTACGAACATCAAGGAAAAGAGGCTGGCACGAGCTGATATGTTAACAGAAACCAACAAGCTGGTATTTTGCTTCTTTTCTCAGGCAGGCAAGGTGACCTTTTCACTATGTTGAATAGTAACTGGCTTTAAGTTTTATCCAGTACTGGGGCTGTTAAATACAGGCCCACCATGATTCCTATTTCTCTTACTTCCTCATGAAAATAACCCAGTTTCCAGGATCACCTGAAAATGCTACAGAGAGCAAAGATGACAGGCAGAGAGCTGTAGCACTTGTTTTCTGAATTAGGTTAGCAAGATGTGCTGGAGCCGTGCGAGTGTGTTCAGCCGGCTGAAGTTGTGTGGTGAATGGATCAGAGAGTAGGTATTACAGCCCTGCAGATGGAGTCAGACAGCCAGTGCTTGGAGCCAATAGCTGAAGTCACCAATCATGATTGGACCAAGCAAAACAGTGACACCTATTGTAACATGCACAGTTCTGATATTAAAGGAACAGCAAGCAGTTGCATTCTCTCGTCTACTTTATTATTGCATACTTAAATAAGATAAACCACCTATGAAATACATTTGAAAACAGGAAGAGTTTATGCTCACAGATTTCCCCTCAGTAGATGCACATTTTTACTTCCTTAGTTAAATAGGGAAGATCAATTAATAAAGGATAGGAACTGATGTCTAGTTTATATTACTAGTAAAATCTTTACCCCAGTAGCATTTAGTTTCACATACTTCACACAATATCCTCCATTCACCAGCTATGAGGAACTATTAATAACAAAAGCATCCTAAACACATTTATCACAGCTTAATGGAAAAAATGTTATTTCCTTTTTTCAGTCTCTTTGAATATGTTATAATCTAGTGCAAAATAAGTGATGAGGTTATGTATTTATTTTACCTCACAATGTTTTCTAGCCCCATAATGATTTTTGACAGGAGTCCCAGATCACAAAATACTGTTAAGAAGACTAAGATTATACCAGTATGCTTAACTGCACTGAAGCATAGACAAATTCTAGATATAAGATTTAAGTGATACAAATCTAAATCTGGTATCAGTGTTTAAAAGTTGTAATTCACTAAAAATATGTCAAATGCCTTTGTTCAGGATTTCAAAATACGATCAAAATATTACGCTACATTTAGCCTTGTAATAATTTTAAAGAATATAATCGCCCTGGCTGGCGTAGATCAGTGGACTGAGCGCGGGCTGCGAACCAAAGTGTCACAGGTTCGATTCCCAGTCAGGGTACATGCTTGGGTTGCAGGCCATGACCCCCAGCAACTGCACATTGATGTTTCTCTCTCTCTCTTTCTCCTTCCCTTCCCTCTCTAAAAATAATTAAATAAAATCTTTAAAAAGAAAAGAATATAATCTACAATTTCTACCGCAAAACCCATAACAAGGCTATTCAACTGATAAATGTTCTGATGCTGCCTAGTTAAAAAGCAAACAGGTTCTCTCTGCTTTGAATCATAAGACTATAAACTACTATGTGGTTTTTATAGACAAGAATCCTCCAACAACTTCTAACTTTAGTGAGTTAACAAAAAACAAAAACACCTGCTGTAGGTTCCACACATGCTTATTACTTACTAAAGAGGAACTAACAAGGGCATGTGATCTTCTCCCTCCCTATCTGCTCTCAGTGGAGCAGCCCTCTCTACTCTTCATGACCACAGCTCTGCTTGTTGCACCACATGCACGTGAATAAGGAGTTCATGACGAGCGAGGGCTCAACAAATGGAAGCTTCAATTGTTATTATAACTGAAAATCTAACAAAGATAACACACCAGAAATCAAACGTTAGATTCCTAGGACCCTAAAGCATTAATTGAAGGAACATCCTCTTTATTGTCATTGTTATTTTTAAAACTGTTTGCCAAGCCACTGCAACACAGACTGTATGTAAGAGAACCACGGTCTTTAGCAGGTTATCCATCCCCATTTTACATGGACCCTAAAAAGCTGCTTATTTATTACAATTATCATGTTTTCAATCACAGGGCTACCTACCACACACATCCATATATAAACACTTCCAAGTCACCTTCATACACATTTTAACACACAATCTGTGTGTGTCTGACAAACCAAAAATTAGTTTTTAAAAGCACATGGTAAAAGGTATGAAAAAGAAACCAGTGACTTTCCATTTGAGCTAAATGTTCAGGATATGATTTAAAAAACAAAAACAAAAAAAAATCAAAGGATTTCTCTCCTGCTCAGCTGCTACTAAACTTTTTGACCACCACCCTCCTAGGAAAGCCACAACAGGGAAGACAGTAACCAATTAGAATGGAATGGGAAATGAGCTGCTTTGAGATAGCCATACTAATAGTTGTCCATGAAAAATAGAAAAAGCATAAAAAGCAGGCACAAGAACTTAGAAGGCTGTGGTTTTTATTCATTTTGCATTTAGTTTAACACTCCTTACTAGGAAAGTCTCCAACAAACACTGCTCTTAAACACAAGTAAAATAAAGAAAAATGTATGTGTAACCAGTTAAGGAAGAAAATTACATATCTTAGAAAATATTCTTTCTGAAATTAAAGGTTTCAGTTATTTGGAAAATTAAGTTTTGTGGAAAAGCTCGAATCTACGAGTTAAGGAAGTAGTGCTAAATCTGAATCACCTAGACCAGTGCTGCAAAAAGAGGCATATTATTCATGCACATGGGAACTGGTGAGCATGGTTATAAAGAGCTGGTCTTGACTACAAAATGTAATCCAATTAAAAGATAAGGATGACATTGAAATTTTCATAGCCAATTTGAAAAGCATGAAAATACTGATGAAACTGAGACAATGGAAAACTTATGGAAGCTACCCTTTCTCACCAATATCCTTGCTGCTGAGAGTATGGCCCAAAGAGCAGGCAGCAGGAGCACTATCTTGTGAACCTGTTAGAAACCCAGAATTTCAGGGAGACTCTGGATCACAAGCTGCATTGTAACAATACCCTCTATGTAATCTGTACGACATTCAAGTTTGAAAAAACTTTATATAGATAACTAAAGACCACTGCAGGGTCTACTCAATTATTCAGTATCAACCTCTGGCATCACATTATGCATTCAATTATCAAGCAAATAGAGAAAGAATTCAAAATAATTTAATTTGGTTTGAACTGAAACTTGACATCCTTTACATCTTGCAAATTCTTCTGATTAAGCCCCAAATGTCAAAAATCAGGTGTGTAAACAGCCAACTGAGAGGCACCTGAACATTTTTCAATTCTCTGGGGAAAAGTTCAGGCTCAGATTATTTTAAAGGACAATGACTGTGACGATTTTAGTGGGGAAAATAAAGGATTAAAAAAATGCCAAGTGTTAAACAGATGAACTATTTATATTTTTAAACAATCTACTTCACAATTTTTTACAAAGATTTTATTTATTTATTTTTAGACAGAGTGGAAAGGAGGAAGAAAGACGAGGAAACATCCTCTCACATGCCCCCTACTGGGGACCTGGTCCACAACCCAGGCATATGTCTGGACTGGGAATCAAACCAATAACCTTTTGGTTTGCAGGCCCTTGCTCAATCCACTGAGCTATACCAGCCAGGGCTACTTCACAATTTTATTTCAAAAAATTATTGCTGTGGCACAGTAAAACTGACAATCAAATAATCTGATTCGGCCCTGGCTCTGCAACTGAAGTTTAAACTATGTATTGAGGGGTGGGAGTCCTGAACAAATCATTTGTCTTTTTAAGTGCCTCAGTTTCCTCAGCTACTAAATGAACAGGTTCACTAAGAATAGATTGTTTCCCGAAGTTTACCCTCAATACACAGCAAGAAATGCATTTTATATTCAGACTTGGTACTAAGGCAGAGACAAACAAATGTACAAATGGAAAGACAGTTCACAAAATTAACTCAACATGTTATCATACACTCTGATATTTCTATTCTATTCTTTTTCCTTTTCTTTTTAATGTTGGTCTTGGTTCATTCCACTGATTTCCTGGGCACAGTACAGCCTAACAATAGTCTACATTATTTCTAAAGGTTTTTAAGGTTTAACATGCCAGGGTCTTTTCCTATCCAGAATTTGGACTAGGGGGAACCAGATAAGGGGTAAGGCAAGACTGCATCAACTTAATGGAGCACATGAAACCCTTCAAACTTCAGGAAGAGTACATTTGTTTTTCTGGAAAAAAAAGCCATAGCTGACATCTGTCTTTCACAGTAATCCATGGCCTAGAACACAATAAAACGTTGTAAAAACATCTAAGATGAATTTGCATATACAAATAATCATGTCACTTTATTCTTCACTTTCATATCTATAAATCTATCTCGTTAAACACAAATTATGACTTCTCCCTTCCCTTGGAATTAAATATAAATAGTTAAAACCCCATTTACTAAATCTATAACCCAGAAACACCACCCTCTGGACTGAAAGAGTAATAAAGGACTAGTCCTATATCTATTCTCAAATTTCACCTCTAAAATTTATTTCCATCTAACATTTTTTCACTTATTTCTATACCTTCTGAATTTTAAAGCTGTTGAGAAACATGGTTAATCTGCTCCATCAATCTTTTATAAGACTATTCTCAAAATACAGCATGCTGATCATGCAGTGTATTAGGTGTTGGGCACACAATGGTACACAAGATTAGGAACCAAGTTTAAAAGGTTTTAGCTAATAAAATGTATCAATATTTTTATAACTGTCAGGAAGTTCAATCACCTTTATATCTCTTTTCATTCAATTCCCAATGATAACAAAATTATCAATTTAAGCACACTGAATCATCCTCTTCATGGAGGTTTGGCCAGACATCCCACCTTTATTTAGTAGAGCCTGGTATGTTCAGTCTGGGCACTTGAATGAGGTTGGGAACTTAAAGGGACTCTGGAAATCATTTAATGCAACTCTGCCCCACAGATAAGGTAACTGGGTGTCCAAACAATTAAAGAGATTTGTGAAAAGTCCACAGTTAAGTAGTGGGGCAATGACTGGACTAGAATGCAGATTTCCTCACCGCTTGCCTAACTCTGTCTGTTCTACTCCAACGTTTGCCCACAGTGATTCTTCTACTCGTTATGTGATGCTTTATCTTCATACTTCTATTCTACTTTAAAATAAAAATGTATGTGCAAAAATTTATAGACATGAAAACCATGAACATGCATACTCTGCACCCTGCAGCGGCACCCTGTAGGAGGAATGCTAGAATGACACTTTCTGGAAAGAAATGGAGGGGAACTGTAACAAGAAGGACCACGAAAGCATAGTAGCCATGAGCAAGCTTCTCAAAAACAGAAGAGGCTCTCCAGATAAAATGAAAGTTTGAAAACCAGCCATTGACAGTTAACACCAACAAATCCTGTGTTGACAA